GGAGCAGGGTGTATTTGAAGAAGTGTATTGATAAAACACAGAAAATTAAATCCTAAACAAACAAAGTCCAAAGTATCAAACAAAAACCATGACTGAAGCTCAAAACTATCAATAACAAAAACATGACCAAAAACATGATGATGACTGACAAACAAACATGACAGCAGCAAAAAGCAACAATGACCCGACAATGATTGTTCGGGCTGGGAGTCCTTTTAAAGCCACTAATTACCTAATGACCAACAGGTGTGCAGCTGCAGGGAGAGCCCTACAGTGCCACCTGTTGGTCCCAAACCGAATCATGACAGTAGGCAGGAGGAAATTTTGGATTTGGAAATGATATCTGATATTATTGAAGGATGGGGGAGTTGATGGAACAAGAAAAAGAAGTAGCTTCGCTACAGAAATTAGAGCGTGAGAAATTTGAGAGAGAGCAGTTAATGGAAGATCAACGCAGAAAAATACAGCATTTGGAAGAGTTGAAGAAACTAAACGCTGCTAAGGCTCGTGTGAAGATTTATGAAGAAGCTGGAAATTCTGATGGAAGTCAAGCTTTATTAGAAACAATCCAAGATTCAAATGAAAATCAAAGTATTTATATCAAATCAGTCATTCCCTCTCAAATTGGGATTATTCCACACAAACAAGAATATGACATTCCACCTCAAGTCAACAGAAGCTATCCACTCAAAGCTACAAGTCAGCCATTCATTCCTCTAGCTAATCAAACACAACCACAACCATACTCAGATTTAGTTGGCATTCTGGCAGAAGCAATAAGTGCCAATCGCCTTCCGACTCCTGAACCCGCTTTGTTCACAGGAGATCCCCTGAAGTTTAAAGACTGGCAGTTGTCATTCGAAACTTTGATTGCGAGAAAGAACATTCCCAAGTGTGAGAAGCTTTACTATCTCAGGAAGTATTTAGGTGGAGCTGCAAAAAGAGCAGTAGAAGGTTTCCTCCTAGTAGGCACAGATGAAGCGTATGATTCAGCTTGGAAAATGCTGGAAAAGCGATTTGGAGATCTGTTCACTATTGGAAAATGTTTCAGAGACAAACTGTATAGTTGGCCTAAAATAAGTTCTAAAGATGGAAATGAACTAAGGGAATTTGCGGACTTCCTTGTGAATTTGAAGCTGCAATTATACACATAAAGAACCTCGAAGTTCTCAATGACTGTATGGAAATCCAAAGACTCTTGCTGAAACTTCCAGATTGGTTGACCACCAGATGGAAGAGGACAGCTATGGAAATAAGACAAATGAGCAATGGTGAATACCCATCCTTCATACGTTTGTGGAGATTGTGTGTACTGAAGCAGATCTAGCATGTGATCCTATATCATCAATGCAGGCACTTAAAGGTTTAGAATCAAGTAAACTCAAAAGCACACTCAGTCAAGTAATTACGGCAAAGGCATTAGTTACTCACTCTGATGTAGAAAGGGTTCCGTCAGTCGTCATCTGTACTTGCGGGTAAAAAACAAAAAACAAAAAACAAAAAAGGACGTTTTTTGTTTTTTGTTTTTTACCCACAAGTACAGATGACGACTGACGGAACCCTTTCTACGATGGAACTTTCCTGTACGACTGAGAGCCTCCACAAGCAACTCACTCTGATGGTGATGGAATCCCAAGTCCCTCAAACATTGTAAACATGACTTGTGTATTCTGCAAAAAACATGGTCACACACTGGACAAATGCTTCGTTTACTGAGAAGTCACTTCAAGATCGTATCAAGTTTGCACAAACAGAAAAGCTGTGTTTGGATGTTTAAAGACTGGACATCATTCAAAGAAATGTGAAGAAAGGCGCACATGTGAGAAATGTCAAAAGAGACATCCCACATGCCTACACGACGACAAGTTTGTTGAGCGAAAGAAACCCGCTGCCTCAAAGAATGAAGATAAAGCTCAAGGTGAAAAAAGTGATGCTAAGGAATATCCAAATCATACATGGCTGTGTCAAACAGAGTGTCTCAAGAAACTACAAGCACATTGACATCATCAATCCTACCTGTTTGGGTGTCGTCTACAAGCCAACCAGATAAAGAAGTTCTGGTATATGCACTTCTCGACTCTCAGAGCGATACTTCTTTCATTCTGGATGAAGTGGCACAAGAAATTGATACAGATCGAAGCAAAACAAGCCTGCGACTTGCAACCATGTCTGCTAAGTCAACTGTCATTCCATGTGAGAAACTGGTTAATCTTCAAGTCTGCGGTTACAAAGGTGACAAGAAAGTGGTTTTACCACCAGTGTTTACAAGAGAGTTCATACCTGTAAACAGAACTCACATTCCCACACGTGAAACAGCTTTAAAGGGGCAACATCTCGAAAGGTTAGCAGATAGCGTGGTACATTCCTCACCACGGGGTCTATCACCCCCACAAGCCTGATAAGATCCGTGTAGTTTTTGACTGTTCAGCCAGGTTTCAAGAAACTTCACTTAATGAACATTTACTTACTGGACCAGACCTCACGAACGCACTGGTTGGAGTGTTATGCCGATTCAGGAAGGGCCCCATCGCGATCATGTGCGATGTTGAGAGGATGTTTCATCAGTTCCATGTTGTGAAAGAACATCAAGACTTTCTCAGGTTTCTCTGGTGGGACAAAGGTAATTTAAAGTGTAAACCTTCAGTATACAGGATGACTGTGCACCTTTTCGGGGCAGCTTCGTCTCCCGGATGTTGTAACTTTGGACTGAAACATCTCGCGTCACAAGGCAAAAACAACTTTAGTCAAGAAACCATCAAGTTCATTCAAAGAGGATTTTACGTTGACGATGGACTCGCTAGCGTCAAGTCCATACCCGAAGCCATTCGACTAGTGAAAGAGTCTAGAGATCTTTGCAAAACAGGAAATCTACATCTGCACAAGTTTGTATCAAACAGTAAAGACGTTCTTGCAGCAATTCCCCAAGAAGAACAAGCACAATTAAAGGATCCAAACCTAGCTCTCGGAGAAGCTTACATTGAGCGTGCACTGGGAGTACAGTGGTGCGTTGAAGCAGACGAATTTCAATTCAGAGTTGAAGTTAAGCACAAGCCGCTGACAAGAAGAGGAGTGCTTTCTTCAGTCTATGACCCCCTGGGATTCGTTGCTCCGTTTATGCTGATTGGAAAGAAAATACTCCAAAGGTTGTGCAAAGACAAAGTGAATTGGGATGAAGACCTCCCAGATGACGTTTTACCTCAATGGAACATGTGGTTGAGAGACTTACCAAAACTGGCAGCACTTAAGATTCCAAGAAGCTACTCGCAAGATACGGACGTTGCGCAGTATGAGTTACATAACTTCTCGGATGCAAGTCTGGAAGGTTATGGAGCATGTTCATACCTCAGATCAGTAACTAAAGAAGGAAATATTAGTTGTTCACTCGTAATGGGCAAAGCGAGAGTCACACCTATAAAACAAACAACTATCCCCATGCTCGAACTGTCATCAGCAGTGACTTCAGTTCGCAACGCAGATTTGATCAAAAGAGAACTGGAGATTGAAGATTTGAAGGAATTCTTTTGGACAGATTCACAGGTGGTGTTAGCCTACCTAAGCAATTACGCCAAGAGGTTCCACACCTTTGTCGCTAATCGAATTCAAAGGATAAAGCAAAGTACAAGTCCCGATGATTGGCAACACGTCAGCTCAGAAAGTAATCCGGCTGATCATGCCTCAAGAGGCTTGAGCGCAGTACAGTTGAAAGAGTCAAACTGGTTTAAAGGCCCCAATTTTCTGTGGAAACAAGATCTTCCGGCTAAGCAGAAAATGGTGGGAGAAGTTGATGAAATGGACCCAGAAGTGCGAAAAGGATATACACATACTGTGCAGTCAAAAGAAGTAAGCCCATTGCTGGAACGTGTGAAGAAATTCTCTGATTGGTCAAGAGCAGTAAAGGCTATTGCAAGATTGAAAAGATTCGTCAAAGAGTGTAAAGGCATTCTGCAAAGAAGGAACAAAGTCACAGATCTCGAAGAGAGGAAAGATACAGAGATGTTCAAAATCAAACTGGCAAAAGTGATTGAAACATTGGAAAACTCAGACGGAAAGTTCGAAAGATTAGACTGAAAACTAGTGAGACTTCCTTTGACAAGGGAAAACCACTGACAAGAGTGATACAAATAGATAGACCTAGACACAAAGTAGTGACGTTACTTGAGACTGACGGTCAAACAAAATTGACTCTGGACACTTTAAAGAAAATCACATAAACAATGAGTGATTTTGGTGGGAGTAAGTGTCATCAGAATAGTTTAGTTGTAAATGAATAATATTTTGTTTCAACTTTAAGGCAAAAAGGATGTTTTGTATTTGTTTTATGTACATTATTTATTCACGTTGTGAAATATTTATTTTGTAAAATTAAGTTTTGTTATTTCGATGTTATCGCTATTATCGCGAGACTTGTGTTGTGGTATGGTGGTTTTTGCCCAGACACGTACAGAAGACGTATGAAGAGCAGCAGTTACAAGGACTGTTCGCTATTTGTGAAAGGTATTTTATGATTTATTTGGTTGTGTATATGTAACTAAATGTAAGGCTTGATTGTAATGGTTATATTTTGTCATGTAGACACCAAAAGTGTATTTTTTGTTGGCCAAGACCTCCGAAGTGGCAGGCGGCAATGAGGTTAACGTTAGCCAACATATTTGTATTAGCCTCATACATTGTATCTGATTGCAAATTGCTGAATGTGTATTTTATTTGACCAACAGTTTTCACGGTGTTGGTGTACCAAGACAACCCCAAAGACACTATTAAACACCCGTCATTTGGAAACCGTGCCCTGGTTTTGTTACTTTGGAGCTACTATATATATATATATA